AAAGACGCCAATGTAAGATTACTGCCGGCACTGTAGTCCATTTGAATTTGAATGAAGCCCAACGGTGTTAGATATTGACTGACATGATCGAATAATTTAATTACTCCTTGTATAAACCAGTCAACGAGTACCTATAGTGGACGAAATAGGGGAGTAAAACGCGAAATTCGGAGGTTGTGTGGCCTCACCAAAGGCTCTTTGTCCGGCGGCAACCACACACTCACTCAAAACCTAGCCTAACACCCTAGTTTCAAGCTTTATGCAAGATTCGCTGGTACCTAGTTCGATTCGCTGGTACCCAGTTCGAATCGCTGGTGCATCGTTCGATTCGCTAGCGATTCGCTCGACTCGAGCGATTCGCTAGCGATTCGCTCGATTCGCTAGCGATTCGAGCGATTCGCTAGCGATTCGCTCGACTCGAGCGATTCGCTAGCGATTCGCTCGATTCGCAAAGTATGACGTCGGCCTTAAGGCGCTTTGGAGACACTTGTAGGGAGTACTTGTGATTCGTTCTATCGAGTCCGCGCTACTAGAGTATCTTGACATAAACGCAAACTTCGTTGCCACTTAATCCTAAGTACAAGCGCATCATCGTTGAATACGCTGGTTGTTAGACAATCCTAAATATGGCACCTATTTATTTGGAATAAGAGCTTCACTAGTGAACGATCGCTTTTCCTTCTGCGGCTCTTAGAGAGACGTACTGACAGTATCCGAAGGCGAGATCTGTGAAATACTTTCTTCCGGCAGCCAATGGCACTGAGAGAATGGTCTCATTTTGTAAAGATACGAAGCCTAGACTGAATGACTTTGTTGAGTTCTCTGTAGTCAACCACAGACTCTGAGTGTGCCATCCTTTTTCTTTACGAGAACTACTGGAGAAGCCCAGTCAGAAGAGCTTCTTTCCACGATGCCGCGTTCCACCAAGTCTTTGAGGACTCCTTTAAATTCCTTCCGCGCTGCTATGGGTACTGGCCTGGTTTTCTGTCTTATGGGCTTGTGGTCTCCTGTGTCAATTTCATGAACCACCAAGTCCGTTTGGGTGAGCTCTGCATCAGTGACCGCAAACACACTTATTAAATTCCTTCAGAAGCTTCACTGGTTCACATGGTAAAGTATTTGTTTTCGATTATGTCCATAATTCATCGCGCTCTCAGCAGAAAACATCCATTTTCTTGGTGCTGTTGAGATCCAACCTTAGCGTTGACTTGCCATTCTCCTATTGGTTCTCCTTTTTTGAATACCATTCCTTGATTTGAGTTGTTGATGACAGGTATGTTTACTTCGTCGTTGTCCGTGGCACTGCATACACCATCAGGTATGAGTGGATGAGACGAACAGAGAAATGGCGACTTCCGAAGATCAGCTCGTGCACATGTCAAAGTCAGGGTTCGCATTGCTTTCGATGGAACGAAAACCCTACTTTTAACCCTTGCTTTGAGGCCTGTGCTGACGCCTCCAGCTATTTGACCTTCGTCCTCAGGTTCCTTGCGTGTATCAGCGCCTTTGGAGAGCCTGAGGTTGAACAACTCTAGCGCGTTTGTACCCAGTATTACTACTTCGTCGAAACCTTTTCCTACATAGGCTGGCACAAACTCGAGCTGGTTTTCTAACGTTATTGCTATGCATATGGTGTCAAAGAACTTCATCACATTTCCGGACGCAGGTCAAAATTATTCTGTTAGTACAACTTTTATTGCTCGAACCGTAATTTTGGGTTTGGGCCGTTCGATGTATTCGTCCAAGTTGACACCTTCATTTGCGGCTCTTTTTAGCAATCTCACTGGGATGATTGTGGTTTGCGAACCCGTGTCTAAAAGCGCATTCGCCTTTATACCACAGATCGTTATCTCTACCAACGGCTTCTCACCGAATAGCTGACTTGAGTTAGACCGAGGGTTGTTCCACGTTGTGCACATCCATTTATCTATGCGAGAGGCATACGCTGGGCCGGGCGTTTGGTGAGCATCTACCGCTCTTGCAGTATTTTGTTGCCGGGCAGGTAGCTCATGACATTCTCTTGCTAAGTGGCCCATCTTTCCGCAATTATAACATCTGACCGAATCACTTTTTCTTTGGGAACGTGGTGTATGGTCCCCTTTGGTGCCTGTTGGGGGGTTGTGCGGTTTTACTGCTTCGCTTCTCGAGCTTTCTCCCACGTTTTTCCTTATGTATGTTTCACGATGTTTAACCCATGCATGGTGTTTGTTGCCGAACGAGTGCGTAGGTCTCGTATTGTTTGATGATCTGTATTCATCGGCTATTTGCAAGCTTCTTTCTAAACGTAAGGCCGCTTCCTTGACCTTTTCGTACGCCTGTTCGCAACTGCTGGTCTCTAGCGCTTCAGTTAGGCAATAACTTCCATTCCAATTGGCAAATTGTCTGCACAAAATCTCCGCTTTATGCAA